TATTCATTCGCGAACAAAAACCAAAGCTAAACACGCAGTCTGACTCAATACGTGCAAAAGTATTTATTTAAACATATACTGCACGATCTGACATGCTAAACACCAATAACAATGAACGCTCATTATTCTAATGAAGTTATCACATTTTACTTGTATATAATCTCTGAGCTACAATTTTACATCAGTTTTAACATTTTACTTGATAATGAGGTCATGCAGACTTCGAAACGTCGTAGTTTTTTACCGTTAATTTTTATTATCAAATGTATTTCTAAACATTCTTTGATTAGATCTCATTATCACTGGTTCAAATGATGAAGCACATTTTCGCAATCTAGAAGGCGCTTTGGAGTGAATGAGCAGCATGGGAATAAAGTTCAAGAAAAAAAAGTGTGTGTTTAAGAAGCCATCAGTTGAATACTTCGCTTTCGTGGTGGATCGTGATGTTATTCGCCCATCTCCTCTAAGGTTCAAGCTATTCAAGAGGTGCCAGTACCGGAGAACCCAACGGAACTGAAATCCTTTCTGGGATTGATTAATTACTATGGCAGATTTATTCCTGACATGGCTACCCTGGCTCAGCCCTTGAATCGTTTATTAGTGGAGAACATTCCGTGGAAATGGTCAAAACAATGTCAAGAAGCATTTCAGAAGCTGAAAGGCTTTTTGCAATCTGCACCTTTGCTGGCACATTACGATCCAAAGAAGCCGGTGCGACTGGCGGTTGATTCGTCGTCTTTTGGATTAGGAGCTGCGTTGTCACACATTTCTGAGGATGGCGAAGAGAAGCCGATAGCTTTTGCCTCCCGTACTCTTTCCTCGACTGAACAGAACTATTCAATGATTGAAAAGAAGGCCTTGGCAATTATCTTTGGTGTAAAAAAGTTTCACCAGTACCTGTTTGGTCGACGATTTACTTTGCTGACAGATCATAAACCCCTAACCTACATCCTTGGTCCAAAACGTGGGATTCCAGTCCTTGCCGCGTCTCGCCTACAGCGATGGTCCATTCGAATGGCAGCCTACACTTATGACATTGAATATCGTGCGTCTAAGAACCATGGAAATGCAGACGCATTGTCTCGCTTGCCTAGGAAAACCATTAAAGAAGCTGACGAAAGGTCGATAGAGGGAGATCAAGTCAACAAAGTTCGAATTGAAGGTACACCAGTTACAGCAACCAGAATCAGAGTGGCTACAAGAACTGATCCCGTTCTGTCACGTGTCTTACATTACGTATTGCATGGTTGGCCAGCAGAAGAGAATACGCCAGAGGAACTTAGATTTTATCGCGCCAAACGTGAAGAGTTTACAGTTGAGGATGGTTGTTTGTTGCGTGGTACAAGAGTAGTGATACCCTCTAGATATCGACAGGAAGTGCTGTCTGAATTACATTTTAACCACCCAGGAATGGTGCGAATGAAGTCTTTGGCACGATTGCATGTCTGGTGGCCAAACCTGGACGGTGACATCGAACAGACCGTGAGAGATTGCAATGATTGTCAAGCCAACCGTTGTAGGGCGCCTTTTAAGGTGGTCAACCCATGGATCTGGCCTACTCGCCCGTGGCAGCGTTTACATGTCGATTTTGCTGGACCATTCAATGGAGGAATGTTTCTTATAGTGGCTGATGCCAAGTCTAAGTGGATAGAAGTGATTCAAATGTCCTCCACCAGTGCCTGCGCCACAATTGGAGCTCTACGCGGCTTGTTTGCTACGCAGGGCTTGCTAGAGGAGATAGTGGCCGACAAGGTCCGCAGTTTGTCGCAGGAGAAATGAAATAGTTCTTAACTTCCAACGGTATTCGCCTGTGTTTGTCGTCACCATATCATCCTGCATCTGATGGTGAAGCTGAACGTGCAGTTCGGACATGCCATGAGAGTCATAAAGAATGAACCGGGTACCCAAACGCAGAAATTGGCTCGATTCCTTTTGAGCTACCGAACCACGCCCCATACCGCCACTGGGTGTCCACCAGCAGAAATTTTGATGGGTCGCAGATTGAGAACAAGGCTTGAGTTGCTTAGACCCGACTTGTCTGCACAGATGGAACAAAAGTCGAGCAGGATAAATCCCATGGTCCGACGCGGTTTTGAGATTGGTGAACCTGTCATGGTGAAGGATTATCGCAATCGTGGATCCGCTTGGACTAAGGGGGTTGTTCAAGATCGACTGGGTCCGGTCACATACCGAGTGAAAGTTGAAAAGTTGCTCTGGAAAAGACATGTCGATCAGTTTCGAGAACTAGCTAGCTCAAAGGTAGCTGATGTTGAGCCGAATAGCTGTGAATTACCAGAGATCGATTTGCCTGAGAAGGAAGATGCAAGTGTGTGTTCCAAATCAAGACCTATCGCCCCAATAACAGTCTATGCCGAATGAGAAGTCTACCCAGCCCTCGGTTGAAGTGGCATCACCTGGACAGAGTTTTACACTAGAAGAAGATGTTACGGATAATACTGTTCCTGAAGAGCCCAGACGTCCTTCAACTAGAATTCGATCGAAACCGAAACGTTTAATTGAAGAGATGTGGTTGAACATTAAACTCTCAGTAGAACACTCTCAATTACGGCAATTACACGTTTTGGAATAGTTTTCGCTTCGTTTTCTTTCGCCTTGCTTATTTTGCTGTTAATTTAATTTGTAGTTTAAGCGGGAGGAGATGTTATAGGGTTAATGAACCAGGGTTTAATTAATGTTATAGTGTTAATGAATTAGGATTTAAATAATAGGAACCATCACTAGGTGTAAGATATGACATGAGAGGTCCCAGAGAGTAAACATACTTAGCTAAGTTGCATGCATATTGAGGTTGTGATATATTGTATAACTGTAGTTTAGGTAGTGATTATTAAAGTTCGCTCGGCCGTTTTTAACCAAGGATTGGCGTCACTTTTCTGCAGTAAGACACAACAACTCGAAAGCGATAACATGTCCAGTTTAAGAACAAGACGTCAACAACAGAAATGCACGTGAGTGAATCAGATAGGACATACACCAAATGCAACCAAAAGGTTGGTATTATGGAAACGACAAAAACCCTATGAAATTTTATTTGTTTTTACTGCAAAGGAAAGTCATACTCAGTAGTCACATGTTTGTTACGGCAAGATGTACCTGTGGAGCTGGTAGTCTGTATCCAGTTTCCACTCGCTTGATAACCTTGGAAAAATGATAAGAATTGTAGCTAATAAGATTTACTTTACAAAGTCACAATGTAATACATATGTGTTATTGACCAGGCGTGTGGTCAAGATGGCTGGATATTGGCCCAGTTCTTTTTATTTTTTTATTTGCGTTTTTATGGACCCAGACGAAGTTGAGGTCCATAAAAACCCAAACAAAGAACGAGGCTAATGTCCAGGCTTCTTGACCGAACAAGCCTAATCAATAGAAGATTTAATATAGAAGAGAAAGATTTCCCTTCGTTAAGAATTAAGAATGACTTGTTCATTTTAAGAGCCTAGAAAGAAAGACAACTGTTTGTAGTACGGTAAACTCATAAAAGTCGTTTATGTTTTGTTTTGACTGTTCTGTGCTGCTTTTTGCGACTCCACCGCTGACACTGTCCAAAAATTACGAACTTTTGTCAATAAGAACTTGCCGCTGTTATGAACCGATCATCTCTCTTTAAGGCTCTTTTCTGCACAGTTAATAAAAATATTCGCTATTAAGCGGGATCACTTACATCGAAATTGTCCCAATTCCAGTAAGGTCTGTCACAATATGACATGATCTCCCACATTAGAATGCCAAAGCTCCAAACATCACTGGCTGAACTGAATGTCCGATGCTGAAGTGCCTCTGGGGCTGTCCAACGAACTGGAATCTTGCCCCCCTTAAGAGTAATTGAAACAAAGACATGTATTTTAAAAGTATGTAGGTCACGTGTTTTCACTAAAACTCTATACCTTCGCTTTGTACTCGCCTCTAACAAAGGGTGTTAGAAAAGGTACATAAGATTAACAGGAAACTTGATCAGCGGGAACAAAGTGGGACCGCACCTTTTGAGTCACTTCTTTCACATCACACCTAGCCTTCAGATGAACCTTCGGAACATAGTCAAATAATGGCGGCTGCGAAATCTCGAATGGAACGGTCCAAATACAAACACTTCTGTCTCTCGTAACGGATTGGAAGTTGGCAGGTTAGGTGAGAAAATCACAATGTACCAGGAAATGGAAGCAATGAAATGAAAAATTTGATCTCAGTGGCACTTTTCAGTCTTAAATCTGAGGAAGTCTTTCACTTCAACAGAAGGCAAACAAAGAAGAGCGTGGAATATTGCCAGCCTCAGTGATTGGCATAAATTACACATAAGAAAGGCAAGAGTGTGAAAAAGGAAAAGGGGATCGTCTCTGTCATCATTTTTTACGTGACACTATCATAAACGTTAGCTTATATCTTAACGTAATTGTCGATTTAAGTCAAAAATTACTTGTGTCGTATATTCAGCTTGTGCTTCATCGTGGTCAGCCAGTTCTCTTGAAAGGCCAAAATCTGATACTTTACACAAAATGTTTTCACCCACAAGGACATTGCGAGCGGCCAGATCCTAAATTAAGACAAACATAGTAACAACTTTTTAATACTCAATCAGTTTTTAGCTATAACAGAAAAATTCAAAACATATCAATGTAGAATAACCCCACATGCGTTTGGATCTTGAAGAATAACGCCCTTAAATTCGTCACTTTTACATAAAAGATATCTCCCTGAAACTGAAGCTAACTAACGATCCTGGGAAGAACGCTGATCTCACTCTTCTGTGGCGCGTGTTTCCTGCTACAACTGTTGTCTTATGAGAATTAAATATTTGGGTGTTTCTCCTCTTTGATGCGAAAGTTTCAGTCACCGGGTTTTTATGTTTTCCTTCCTCTAAATAAATTAACTGATTCCAAACTTCAAACCCAATTGGAAACAATGGCCGAACAACCACGTATTGTTTTGAACCAATGCTAAGATCCACAAGTGTAAAGGTAAATGTCAACTATATTAACGATGAAAATAAAATATGAAGATAACATATACCCTATGAATGAAATTTAATTCTGACAGGTACTTCATTCCGTGAGCCACACCTCTTGCCATTCCAACCAACTGAAGGCTCGTCAGCTGACCATTTCGGTCCTATGGAGAAATCAGAAGAACCGTTATTCGTTTAACCCTCCAAGTCTTACGATGAGTGGGATCTAATTTCTCAGCTTTATTGCTGAATCAAACATTAGTTTAATGAGAATAACGAACACATCACAAACTTAAGAATTTCCTGATTGTCATACAAAATTTCCTTGTCAGTACCATAGGAAACGTAAAAGGAGCAGTATGGAGGACAAGCATATAGATGTAAGAATGAAAGGATTTAGATAAAACGCACGATTGACAATAATAATAATAATAATAATAATAATAATCACGATTTGATATTTATATTGCGCAAATCAACATTGGGATATGATCAAATGCGCATTACAATGTTTTGTGAAGACTAATTTTAGCAGATACCCCCAATTTCAGTAAACAGGCCAGGCCGCAACACCGGGGGCTACGTCCCCTACTCTTTGCGATAAGTACGTGGGTTCTTTAACGTCCCCTGCTAGCCAGTACAGAGAAGATTCAGGTGACGGGACCTTCGGTTTTTCGTTCTTATCCGAGAAGACTAGAATGTCTAACCATTTGCAGATATCATAGCAAAGGCAGCACATTTTCCTCAGTTATTTGAGTGTTAGTCCGGTCTGGGGCTCGAACCCACAACTAAGCAGATTAGCAGTAGGGTATTATTTCGGAAGTCTCTTAATAAATTTTATTTTGCATAGTGTAGTGAGTGTAGATTAGAGTTAGCCAAAGTCATATCTTAAGCTATTTTCGTTTTTATTCTGCCTATATTTTTATCATTGAAACAGGAACCCTTTGATAACAGTACTCAAGTACTGAGGGACTACCCTGTATAAATATTCCTTATTATTATCACTATTAATACTATTATTACTTTTAGAAAACTACAACTACAGTCAAAAGGTGTTTATAACACAAAATGAGCAGTTACAAGCGTAAGCCACCCAAGCGATCTTTTTTTGTACTGTCTATTGATTAAGTTTGAGTTGTTGTTATTAGCTATTGTAACGGTTGTTTTTGTTCTTTACGGGAGAAAATTCTTAAACCCTCGCCAGACGAGGTCAAATACCAATTTCTTTTTGTTATCTATTGCTAACGAAACACCACTAAGCGTAAAGAAAACTAGATGTAAATAAGAAACCTTTAAAAAGTGATCCAATGACCCACTTTCCAGGAATTCTGTTAGAATCATCATTGGTCTACCTAAAAGCAGAGAAATTAATTCAACTTTAAAATCTCGAATCATTTTAAATAATAGTACGTCTTTCGTTTTAATGCAGACATAAAGTAGCTTCATGATTTGATTGTCGAGTCTTCAATACAGGTTACTCAGTTAACGTTCCCTACTCACTCTGCGTCACCACTCCGATGAGGCGGATAACATTTGGATGATCAAACTGCCCCATAAGGGACGCCTCGGAAAGAAAATCTTTTTGATTTTTCTCGCTGGAACCAGGCTGGTATGAAGAGAAAGAAACATCATTTCAGAAAAATAGTGCATTTAATGTGGGATCATAACATTTTTTAACTATATTGGACGTATGAATCTCGCCTTCTCTATGAGATGAAGTATCGCATTCAAGAGGTCTAAATCGTGAGTGCAAAGTTACGCGTCTCCTCCAAAAAATTTGCTGAGCTAGTCTGACTGTATGACATAAATCGTATCGAAGCAACACATGATTTAACTGACCCTTAAGACTTTCACAGCAACCACCTCTTTGCCTTCACGAGATTTTAATATTCCTTTGTAGACATCCGCAAACTCCCCTAAAGAAGAAAACAATAATTTAAAGCGATAAAATGTGACAAATATATATATATATGTATATAATTGAGAACGGGGTGGTCAACTGAAGATTTGGCTTGGCATTTAGTTAACCACCCCGTTCTCAATTATAACACGCTCTAGTTCACTATTGAGCGCTCTGAAAGCAGTTCTGCAGATCAACTTGTTATATATGTATTATTATATATTAAAAACTGGATCATTGGATAATGCAATTCAAGACTTTTTATTGGCTTAGCCATTATGGTATATGAGCCAATATACCATAATCTAATATCTGTACATTGTAGCATCCGGTTTCTACTTACAAAATAAAGTCAAGAAGGTTTGTCTAATATCTTGGGGGCGTTTTTTTAATAAAATAATTATTCCACTCGCGCTTGTTGGATACGAGATGATTATAGCCAACTTGGCGCTACGCGCCTCGTTGGCTATCTATCATTTCATGTCCAACGCGCGCAAAAGCTAAAGATGATCACTTGTAGGTATCAACATATCTACCTGATCCGATAACTCCTTCGAGTTTAATGTCTCTTCTTTTTCGTTCAGTCGCGAATGATGTCAAAAGTTCTTGCAAGTCGATGTAGTTATTAGGGTTGATATAGGTTCGCTGGTCTTGGGGATTCGTGGTTTGAAGTTCACTTCCTAATGATGGAAAATTTTAGCTTCTCAATTACGATATTTAACTTAAGAAAGCAGTCGTATCTATGTATAAATGACAGACACTGCATATAATTGATCACAGAAGACGTTTAAATGTGGCAAATAAATCAGTGCTTCACTGGGCTGCGACTCGTGTGCCACTTTTTCATTCTTACCAAATTTTGACGTCCTCAGTTAACTATAACTAAAGAGACGCAAGGCATCTTGGAATCTATTTGTACAGCGAGTAACGTAGCTAAACAGATTGCAGCCTTCGTGATATAACGCTAGTAAACTTGTACTGGTAATCACATAATTTCGAGCGCAATTTGGAATAAATATGCACGAGTACATTTTTTCAAAGACTAACAAAATGAGCCTGTAGGGCGAGGGCAATTTGTGGTCTTTGAAAAAATTTACAAGTGCTTATTTATTCAAAATTGTACGAGAAAAATCATGCGATTATGTATCAATAATATACATGAAAAAATACAAGGTAGCTGTCATAATTATGCAGAAGAAAACCGCACGCATTACGTGCGAAAATAATTTATTCAAACCCCGCAAATGACATTGCCCTTGACATTGAGATTGACCGATCATTCTGACCAATCAGAATGTCTGGTTTGTTACTTTCTTTGCACTGAATTAACCCTCTTCTGCACTGAATTAACTCTCTTCTGCACTGAATTACCTGAAAACCGCCTTTATCTTAACCATTCATAACTGCGTAATTTTTTAATTTATGTTATCAATACTGATACTGATGTATGTACCTTGCTGAAGGGCTTCCATATAAGCTTGCTCTACACTCTTTTTACTTTTCCTATTTAAGAACACATAGATGTATCACATCATACTTCAGATAGAGACGGTGCCTTCATTAGACCAAATTCAGACCCGATCTCGAGGTAAATTAAAAACACCTTTTTGCAAGACTCACCTTCTACGAGATACAACGCAGACAATAATGACCACTACCAGAATGATAAGCAACAGTGCTCCTGCTCCTCCAGCTATGAAAGCAATAAGCTGCAATTTCTTCGAGTTGTCTGTAACCATTCAATCACAAAAGCAGTTAATCGCTCAATCATTGGGTAAAATGATCAATGAAGCATTTACGAGAGAACTTTCATCAGGAAACATTTCTCGATAGAGTTACTTCATAATAGGTCGGTTTTCAGATTGTTAACTGTTTATTCGTTGATTTCCTTTTTGCCAGTCATCTATCCGTAAAGTTTCTTCAATTCCATTCTTTATTTCTTTTGCCTAAGTAATTGTATTTGACCCTTGAGTAGGTGTACTGTGGTTCAGTACAGTATGTATGCATAAACTTGATTTAAGCACGAAGCCTGAAAGGTGGACTGCAAGCAGGCTGTGCGCTGCGGCTCGGGCAGCGACACCGCGAGAAACGAACGGGCGTCGCCGGCTAGTTCCAAACGTGGCCTCGTTGAAACTTTTTTGCCCCAACGTAGGGTAAACAAATTTGAAAATGCGTTTTTTTGGGTTCATTAGATTTTGATATAAAGTATCAAAAGTAATTGAAGGAAGTCGACAAGAAGACAACAACATGATCTACCCGCGAGTTCAATCATGTTCATGTGATAGGTAGATCGATTAAACAATGCCGGATTTACCAACCGTTTCTTAAAGTAAACGTCCTCGTGCCAGCTGGTCCCCTTCCGTGGCCGTTTATGGCAAATACCTGAGAATAAAAGGCGAGAAATCATGTGAAAGTTTTCTCAAACTATTTTTAAGACACCGTTTACGACATTTACGCGAAATAGCGAGTGACCTTTACTGGTGAACTTGGACTAACCAAACCAGTCGATCGTATATAGCACTACTATGTTTGATGGTACAATTTAGAATTCTTAGGAATCAAGCCATTACTGACAGTTCCTTAATAAAGATCCCGATAATACAAATAATTCTTAGCAAGGTTCATCATTCGGTCAACTGTACAGGTTTCGTACAAATACTACAAACACTTTGTTCAATTCCTCCTTTCCCCAAGTTTCTATTCTCGACCAGTTAGAACGTTAACCTACCTTGAATTGGTAAGTCTTTCCTGCCTTTAAATCAAACTTCATTTCTGCTGTTTTCGTCTGACGAGTCATGGTATCTGATGTATCATTCGCATTAATGTATGTCACGTCGTACACCTTAATAACTCCATTTTTTTTCTCTAGTGTCCAGGAGACAACGACAGTTGTTTTCGGTTGTTTAATGGACACTTCCGGTATACCTGGAACTAGTTTGTCCAACAGATGAGAACGAAGTTTTAGTTTGTCAGTTAAAGCTTCAAACTTTCTGAATGACTAACCCAAAGACTCTTTTCCGTCAAATGCAAACAACGCTAAAACTAAAGTGAGTAAATCAAATGGACTCACATTGGATACAGTTGAAAAATGAATATTTCTTAGACCTCTGAAGAAAAAAAACCACAGGTAGCATAACATTACAAACATAATAAAATAGAGGGCAAAATTACTGAATGCTGATTGGTCAATAAGGAGGGTATTTTTTCTTAATTTTGCTTGAGAAGAGGGAAAAATTACTAGCTCGTGATTGGTACTCAGGTTGCCTGGCAACAGCTTATGCTATCGAAAAGTTGTTGCTGAAGATTTTCGGTAACAATGGCGTCTCGTTTCGAGATAGTTGACAAAGAATATATCGAAGAATTAAAAGACAAGAGTGAAAACGAAAACACGAGGAAAAGCGCGGAGTACTGTAAGAACGTCTTTAAAAAGTGGGCGAATGAAAGAAACTTCCAAGCAAATTTAGAAGAATACGAGAGCGATGTCCTTGACCGAACACTGGCGCAGTTTTATGCCGAGTTACGAGAAGAAAACGGGGATGAATATGTGTCCAACTGCTTGAAAGTAATCCAGGCATCACTGGAGAGATATCTAAAATCAAAAGCCTATCCAAAGTCTTGGTATCTTTGTACAAAAATTGAATTTCATTCAGCTCATTCGTGCGTTTGTGGCCATTGATTCTCTGACGGTGAACTTTAAATGGCTTCCTATGACTGATTACTGAAGAGCGCATTCAGAAATTCAGTAATTTTCCCCTCAATTTCATTAACAAGTAATCGCAATGGGTTCTCGTAAAATTAAGGATTAATATCACTTGTGTTTTCAGAAGTTGCTGAAATTGCCCGAGTCGCGAAGCGACGAGGGCAATTTCAGCAACTTCTGAAAACAAGNTGACGCTGCTGCTAGAGATATGGAATTGACCACCACTTGATAAATAACAGCACTAGGTGACAAAGAGGGATAGCTGCTCACAATGTTGATAATCTGCAGCCGAATTAGCGGAATGAACTGTGGTCGAAAACCATTCAGAAACTTGAGTTTTCTTTTTCGTTTTTTCGTATTCTTGTTCCTCGATAAATTGTTCACTGAATTAGTGTCTGTAAACCATGAAGCCATAATTCTGGACAGGCATTAAAAGTTTCAAACATTCACTTTCAGTTACTTCTCATGACCGCCCCGAAAGACTCACTTGTGAAAAAATTCAATTTTTTTTTTTGATAAATTTCCTCATGGATACTTTTCTTTCGTTTCCTTGACTTTTCTTTCTAAACCTTGCATTATTTCAAAATTGCTTTATCAGAAATTTTTATATACCCAGAAACTCTCCCAGTAACTCCGAGATTCTTTACAAACTGTAATTATATTTTTTTCACAGAAAAACACTCTGACTGACATTCAATCAAAATTGTCGAAGCTCGTTAAATTAGCCCAAGGTTACATGTTCCGACCGTTGTTAATTAAGTAATTGGTTTATTTGTCAAAGTACATTCTTCTGGTATTTGCTCGTTAGACTGTCTCAAGGGGAAATACAACGACCAGAGTGGCCTTAATTGCACAGGTAAGGACAAACATGCCACAAGTACATCTGAACAGTCTTATGTTTCCTGAACAGTGTTTTACTCCTTTTAATTGTACTCTTGATTAAGCTATGATTACCCGATATACTAATACGTCAATGATATTGTTCACCCGCACTTATTTGGGATCTTGTAAAGAGATCTTTACTCTTACGTGTACAGTTCTAAGTAATATCTCTTCCCCCATTTAAGCAATTGAAAAACACTAAAATTTAATCATTCAAAAGTAGCACCGTTGTGGATGCTAAATTGTTAGCACATTGATCATACAGAACGCTTTGTGGCTTCCGTTTCTTGACCGCGATATTTCGAAATTCCCTGTTCACTACTGCAAATTTCGGCGTCCTCTGAAGATTTTTTACCCCCTTCATGTATGTTTACCAAATATCGCTCCCTCTTTATAAGCCGCCTGGAACATGAATATCACCTAAAATGAAAAGTGTTACTAATGGAAAATAATGGGGTGATAAAGCAGATTTCGAGAAAAATCCAACAAACTCGTTTTCATTTTGTTGCATCGGTCCTAAGCACTGATAGATATAATTTGCAGTCAATCGGAGTAACGTTTGATTTCCTGAAAAAGAGATAGAACGATTCTTTTATTTTCTAACCATCTCAAACTGGGGGTGTGTGCTTTTTTTAGTTTTACCATCAACTCCAAGGAATGGCCACACAACCTTCGTTAACCAAAGTACATTAGGGTTACAATGGGACCCCCCAGAAGTTACTGGTGATCACACCCAGGTGTGGTATGATGTTGACTGCCGTAAGCCATGTGACAGTGATGACGAAAACAATTGTGTGGTGGATAAAGCTTGCGGGAGTGACGTCATTTTCTTACCATCTATGGTGAAATTAAACACAACTCAAGTCATCGTCGGAAACCTGTCTTCATTTATAAACTACACTCTCAAAATCTATGCCAGAAATAGAGTGAGCGAGGTTTCTAAAAGTAAACATAAATTGGAAGGATTCTTCGAGACAATTATCGTAAGGACTAATGGATCAGGTATGTCATTAACTAAATATCACCAGGAAAAAGGCTTGGCGACTCCGACTGAAACTTTGTGAATGCTTGTTCAAAGTATCTATGTACATTAGTCTTGATGGACCAATGTTTTGATGTTTTCAAGCATTATTTTCATCACAAAAAAGTGTGGCGTAACTGTGACTTCTGAAGATGTTGGTTTTTTTCAACATCACATATGTATAGGTAATTGCATGGGGCCCAGTAAAATTAAGGATTAATATCACTTGTGTTTTCAGAAGTTGCTGAAATTGCCCGAGTCGCGAAGCGACGAGGGCAATTTCAGCAACTTCTGAAAACACAAGTGATATTAATCCTTAATTTTACTCGGCCCCATGCAATTACCTATACATATGTGATGTTGAAAAAAACCAACATCTTCAGAAGTCACAGTTACGCCACACTTTTTTGTGATGAAAATAATGCTTGAAAACATCAAAACATTGGTCCATCAAGACTAATGTACATAGATACTTTGAACAAGCATTCACAAAGTTTCAGTCGGAGTCGCCAAGCCTTTTTCCTGGTGATATTTAGTTAATGACATACCTGATCCATTAGTCCTTACGATAATTGTCTCGAAGAATCCTTCCAATTTATGTTTACTTTTAGAAACCTCGCTCACTCTATTTCTGGCATAGATTTTGAGAGTGTAGTTTATAAATGAAGACAGGTTTCCGACGATGACTTGAGTTGTGTTTAATTTCACCATAGATGGTAAGAAAATGACGTCACTCCCGCAAGCTTTATCCACCACACAATTGTTTTCGTCATCACTGTCACATGGCTTACGGCAGTCAACATCATACCACACCTGGGTGTGATCACCAGTAACTTCTGGGGGGTCCCATTGTAACCCTAATGTACTTTGGTTAACGAAGGTTGTGTGGCCATTCCTTGGAGTTGATGGTAAAACTAAAAAAAGCACACACCCCCAGTTTGAGATGGTTAGAAAATAAAAGAATCGTTCTATCTCTTTTTCAGGAAATCAAACGTTACTCCGATTGACTGCAAATTATATCTATCAGTGCTTAGGACCGATGCAACAAAATGAAAACGAGTTTGTTGGATTTTTCTCGAAATCTGCTTTATCACCCCATTATTTTCCATTAGTAACACTTTTCATTTTAGGTGATATTCATGTTCCAGGCGGCTTATAAAGAGGGAGCGATATTTGGTAAACATACATGAAGGGGGTAAAAAATCTTCAGAGGACGCCGAAATTTGCAGTAGTGAACAGGGAATTTCGAAATATCGCGGTCAAGAAACGGAAGCCACAAAGCGTTCTGTATGATCAATGTGCTAACAATTTAGCATCCACAACGGTGCTACTTTTGAATGATTAAATTTTAGTGTTTTTCAATTGCTTAAATGGGGGAAGAGATATTACTTAGAACTGTACACGTAAGAGTAAAGATCTCTTTACAAGATCCCAAATAAGTGCGGGTGAACAATATCATTGACGTATTAGTATATCGGGTAATCATAGCTTAATCAAGAGTACAATTAAAAGGAGTAAAACACTGTTCAGGAAACATAAGACTGTTCAGATGTACTTGTGGCATGTTTGTCCTTACCTGTGCAATTAAGGCCACTCTGGTCGTTGTATTTCCCCTTGAGACAGTCTAACGAGCAAATACCAGAAGAATGTACTTTGACAAATAAACCAATTACTTAATTAACAACGGTCGGAACATGTAACCTTGGGCTAATTTAACGAGCTTCGACAATTTTGATTGAATGTCAGTCAGAGTGTTTTTCTGTGAAAAAAATATAATTACAGTTTGTAAAGAATCTCGGAGTTACTGGGAGAGTTTCTGGGTATATAAAAATTTCTGATAAAGCAATTTTGAAATAATGCAAGGTTTAGAAAGAAAAGTCAAGGAAACGAAAGAAAAGTATCCATGAGGAAATTTATCAAAAAAAAAAATTGAATTTTTTCACAAGTGAGTCTTTCGGGGCGGTCATGAGAAGTAACTGAAAGTGAATGTTTGAAACTTTTAATGCCTGTCCAGAATTATGGCTTCATGGTTTACAGACACTAATTCAGTGAACAATTTATCGAGGAACAAGAATACGAAAAAACGAAAAAGAAAACTCAAGTTTCTGAATGGTTTTCGACCACAGTTCATTCCGCTAATTCGGCTGCAGATTATCAACATTGTGAGCAGCTATCCCTCTTTGTCACCTAGTGCTGTTATTTATCAAGTGGTGGTCAATTCCATATCTCTAGCAGCAGCGTCAATCAGACACCGACCTTAGCTACTCCAGAAACTGAGATAAAGTCCATAAAGAGGTACAAAAGACTAAAAGTACTCGATTGCGATATTGGATAATTAATATTGAATCAGATAAAATTTCGGAACCTTTATTCCCCCACGCCTAATCATTTCATATTAACATTGCCCACTTGAGAACCTGTATGCAATATCACTTTATTCTGGGAGTTTTTTCTCATTCAAACGTAAATAAGAGTTTTTCATCAAACAAAAGCCCTATCAACTAAAGAGTCTCAGAGTAAATAGAAATATGGAATTTGAGTTTATTACAGCTATTCATATTTCAAATGATCACCAATTTGTAAAAAGAAATATCTGAATGGTTTGCTCGACCTGATCCGATCCACTACAACTGCATGATGCAGTTAATAGAACGACATATGATGTACCTTTGCATTCTCCCCCACTATTCTCCATGTCCTCTCTGCATATACATCTTCCCTTCAGTGAACTGATGGTCCATACTCCATCGCTTCGGCAGTTCACTGTTAGATTACCTTGATTGTATAAGGCATTTGTAACACAGCTACCTACAACTAGCTCAGAGCTATTTGCTGGAGCCATGGAGCGTGGAAACGAAACCAAGCCACTAACAACGGTATATTCTGGGCAGAAGAAATAACTGACAATAACAGAATAAATGACGCTGCAAGAGCCCTTGTCGTGAAAAGCCAGAACGATGTACTTTCCTTTCACTTCAACAGCAACAGTTTTCATGACTTTGGCATTGATGCCAAGGATCGGCGAAGTTATTTCAGTAATCCTTTCATAAGTGGCATTGTTTTTGAAAGGGTCAGGTACCGTTGAATTGCCGGACTGATGCACGTAAAATTCGAAATGTTCTCTACAGAAATCATCTCCACCAAGTACTGTGCAGTTTCTTAAACTATACTGAAGAGTAATATCAACTTTTTGAACTTTGTTTGGGACTGTGATGGGATTACTTCTCAGCCAGGAATCTGGTTGTTGCTCAGTGATCTTACAGCACGTGTATCTTTCATTCAAAGATGCATCTTTTGACGGAGTCCACTGTTTAGAAACAATAATAAAGTAACAACATCTTAATAAGAAATTTCTTAGAGATCGATTTCGAGACAAAAACTAGCGATAAAAAAGCACGACGTTTCGACCTCTCCGAGGTCTTTTTCAAGTGAGTAAAAGTTTTGTAATTTAGCATAAAAATGTAGGAAAATTTGAAATGGGTAAAAATGTGGCGAACGCTAAAATGTTATAACATATGTAAGAAAGTGCTAAAAATATCTATGAAGTAAAAAAAAACAATGGAATGATAATAACAAAAACTATTTTCAACAAATGATTTGGCGCGAATTGAATCGCACCTTTGTTTAGTGTTGGTTTGAGTTCTTTGATAAAAAAAAAACCAAACATTTGAAAAATTAAGACAGTCAGATTTTTTCTGACACTTTCTTAAGATTCTAAAAACTTGTGCGATGACGTCTGGCTCCATATCATGCTGCTCTCTGAGGTAGTTTCCGATTGCCAATCCTTTGCGTTCCTCAATTCGTTGGTGAAGGTATCGGCACGTGTAGCCGACATAGCCTCCTGCATCGCACAGGCCACACTGAAATGAATACACCATGCACTGTTTACACACAAGAGGCGGCTTGTCTTCCCTGACCTTAATTTCATCCTTTATCTTTCTTTTTTTTGTGTAAACCGGGCTAATATGGCTTCTGGCGGTTTTTGTAAACTCAAGGGTTCCTGGAGTTCAGGCAGAGTTTTGTACTATGCAAACTTTGTGGCTAATACACAGATACTTTTACTTTCTGGTGATGTAGAGCTAAATCCTGGATGGCGAGGCATATCTTTGCGAGTGAAATCAACCGTGGCTCAAATAATTTCAGTATAGCACAATTGAATGTTCGAAGCTTGAGGAATAAGATGGATGAAATCAAGCTATTACTTAAAGTGTGTCGTTTCGACATTTTAACAATTACCGAAACCTTTTTAGACACGAGAATATCCAACAAGCAACTACATGTAGATAACTATAAGATTATTAGAAGGGACAGGAAAACGGGACAGGATGGAGGTGGCTGCTTGATTTACATTGCGAGCCATATTTGTTATTCAAGGCTCAAATCCCTAGAGCCTCCTGATGTTGAATTAATCTGGATCAAAATTATGCATAATTCGTCTGCGTTGATATTAGGAAATTGCTATCGACCTCCTTCTGACTTCCAGTTCTACGGACGATTTTATGATTGTCTGGAGAAAGTGTGGCTTAGGCACAAGAATGTGGTGCTTGTCGGCGATTTTAATTCGGACTATTTTCGTAGCTACAAGGGTGTTACATCATACGCCGGTAGAAGATTACAAGATAATTATACTCCAGCAATTTAGCTATAGCGTAATGAACGATAGGAACCAGCCAACAAGAGTTACAAGTGACACGCAAACACTGATTGACTTGGTTATTACCAGCAAGCCAGAGATTATTAAGGGAGCTATTAAAACAACTGAGTTGGGAATCTCAGATCATAAGCTGGTTCTTGCTACAATATGGTCCAAAACAAAAAGGCCGCCTCCAAAGATAGTCAGAGCCCGCACCTTCAAAATATTTGATCAAGCTGCTTTTAAAGATATCTATCAGGTGCATGAGCCTTACAGGGAAGTTAAAATTAGGAACGTCTCGGTACCTTGGATAACACCGCAAATACGGCACTTGATAAATAAACGTTTCAAAATGCTTAAAATGGCACAACGCCTGGGTGATCCAAATCTGTGGGCTGAGTATCAGGAGCTGCGGAATAGAGCGACAAGGGAAGTGAGGCTCTCTAAGAACAAATACTACTTGGAATTGTTAAATGAAGTGAAGGATTGTAAATCCTACTGGAGACTGGTAAAAAATGCGACAAATGGTAAATCGATTACCCCGATATTAGGGATCAGGAGTGCGGATGGAAAAGTTGTCACCTCCGATCTGAACAAAGCGAACATAATCTGATCTGAACAAAATGAACATTTCTCAACTACAGGCCAAAAACTGGCCAACGAATTGCCGAATGCCAACTTGACTCAAAGTAACGTTCATGTATCTACCGTCGCGACTTGTGTTATGAACATAAATTTATCGCAGGAGTTATTGTTAGTTCGATGGCTAAGTTGAGAGCCGATAAAGCCTCTGGGCCCGACAGAGTTGCTCCAAAACATTTAAAGTTTGCTGGTGACTCAATTATTCCATCTTTGTTGTCTGTTTTTCAAATAAGCGCCACCTACAACAGTGTACCGGCTACTTGGAAGGCTGCAAACATCTCAGCTCTCTATAAAAGTGATGATGAAACTGTTAAGCAAAATTACAGGCCTATTTCGCTATTAAGTGTACCAGGAAAACTGATGGAGTCTATGGTGGCGTCAACTATTGCCATGCATGTCACTGAACAAGGACTTGGGAACCCTCACCAGTGGGCGTATAAAAAAGGTCATTCCACCGAGCTGTTGTTAGTGAAGATAACGGATGACTGGAGACAAGCGATCGACAAGAAACATGTTGTAGGCGTGGTTTTTGTAGACTTTCGTAAGGCGTTTGACGCTATTCCCCACTCCATTCTGCTCCAAAAACTTCAGAGTCTTGGTGTAGCTGGGGACTTATGGTGTTGGATAAGGGATTACCTCTCTGGAAGAACGCAAGTAACGACGATTAATGGGTGTCAATCTCAAGCTATGCCAGTTACTTTTGGTGTACCTCAAGGGTCGGTGCTGGGCCCTATCCTGTTTTCCATCTTCTGTAATGATCTGCCCAATATCACTGAGGGAATAGATGGTGACCCACAGCTTCACATGTACGCAGACGATGCCACCGTCTATGTCTCGGCTCCGACCTCTGATCTGGTGGCTTCCAAGTTGAATGAAGTCCTAGCAAGGCTATATACATGGTGTTGCGAGAACTATCTCACTCCACATCCCACCAAGACGGAATATATATTGCTTGGTGGACGCGGACAATTTACTGGGCAAAAACAAGCTATTAAAATGGGTAAGTATGTTATCGAGGAGGTTGTTTCTACAAGATGCCTAGGTGTTCAGATAGATAATGCTCTTAAATGGGATCATCATGTATCGGAATTAGCGAAGTCATATACGTAGAAGTTGAATTTACTTAAATCCTTGTTTTCCTGCTTAAACTGACAAGAACTGATTTCTACTTTAAGGCTATTCTGCCGTCTGTGACATATGGTATGTTAGTTTGGGGCTCTTGTGGTCGAGGGTTTTTCTCAATCTTAGAATCTATACACGTTAGAGCGGCGAAAATAATATTTAACTTGGATTGGTGTACTCCAAGCAAGGAGGTTCTTGCCACAGTAATATGGAATACCTTAGAGATTATGTATGAGAAACGATTACTAATCTTAACGAATCAGGCTTATTATCATCTTTTACCATGTCCTATGAACCGTCGCTTTTAAAAGTATGTAAGTAGTCACGACCTCAGGAGGAAAATGAGATTTAAGTTACCGAGACCTAAGACCGATATGGTCAAGAAATCAGGCTCATACAAGTCAATTACTCGGTGGAACGCTCTGGAAAATCAAATGAGATCAATTCAAGACGCTGACGCTTTCAAAAAGTCACTCAAGTGTATTTTTAAGACACGTATATTATAATGATGTACTATGTAGAACTTTTATTGTTGTAAATATGTAGAAATCTTACATTAGCCTTCTTATAATTAGTTAGGAATTTAGTTTTATTGTTTGTACACGACCACATCAGCTTTCGCCGAGTTTTTTTTTTTTTTTATCGTGTTTAAATAAATGCTGTTGTTGTTGTTGCTGTTAATATCTGCATTGATCTTCCGAATGAGGTCAGCAAGCTGTCTACGTATTGCATTCGCAGATTTCTGATCTTTGAAGGGCAACACGATTCTGATTGGAGCTTCCCTTTAATCAGACACCTGGGTACGTGAATACTCGGACATTTTTGATTCAATGAATTGGCGGATGGTATACTGCACAAGGTTATATGGATAGCGCAGTCGGGAGAAGGTCTCTTTAAGACGTTCACACTCCTCACGGCTTAAACAAAAATGTCACTGACAGTGTGTTCGTTGACGGACAGGAGCTTTAGCTTTTCGTCCAACCATTTAGTAAGTTTATAATTATATGTTCCTGTGGCTGCTAGTATCGGACGCAGGCTAACTTCTTCTTGTGGGCTTTTGGAAGATCGCAAAGATGTGCGAGTCCAGACCCCACTTTGACTACTGAGTCAGAGATCTTTTTGGGTAGGATCCTTTGCACAGCCGAGGACAATTCCTTCTCCTTTTAAAGTAATGGATGGTAAAACTTTAGAGGTCTTCCTCGTGCTTTCGGTCTCTCAAGGATTACTAGCGAGAATTTTGTCTCGTAATTAATGGATGATTCTTTCAACAGACGTAGATAGTCTGATTTATCTATTACAACCGAGCCGGAGCCCTTAGCAGGCTTTGTGATAACAATGTCATCTCTCTTCTTGAGCTCACTTATCGCTCTCAACATTGCTTTCGGTGGTCATGGACTCTTGCGTTTGCTCATAGTTAATCGAACTATGGTTTGCTGTAATAAGCGGAATAGATCTTAGGGTTGATGCCGCTTATTCTTTTTCGCCGCTGTCGTTGAGATTCGGTTCTAGTTTCCGATAAGCCTTCTCGACGGTTGTGTGGATTTCCCTCGATGATATTCATTGTGATAGAACAAAGTTAAGCCTTCTACGTAAGACTAGCTTTTGGAAGAAGGACAGCCTGTACGAAGAGAGCAGCATGATATGGAGCCAGATGACATCGCACAAAGTTTTAGAATCTTAAGAAAGTGTCAGAATAAATTTGACTGTCTTATTTTTGATATGTTTTTTTATCAAAGAACTCAAACCAACACCAAACAAAAAGTGCGATTCAATTTGCGCCAAATTATTTGTTTAGAGGAGTATTTCTTGTTATTAGTATTCTATTGTGTTTTTTTTTTCTTTTTTTTTTCACCTCATAAGTATTTTTTGCACTTTCTTACATATTTTATCACATTTCAGCGTTCGCCACATGTTTACCCATTTCAACTTTTTCTACATTTTCATGCTAAATTTGAAAACTTTTACTCACTTAAAAAAGACCTCGGAGAGGTCGAAACGTCGTGCTTTTTTATCGCTGATAACATTTAAAGACTAGCAAAAACTAACGATAAAAACCGACGTTTCGGTGTCATCATGACGCCATTGTCAAGGAGAAATAAAAAATGAAGTTTGTGGCAAGGTGTAACACTAAATTAGCATAAATATGTTACGAGCTAATTAAACAAATACTTTTGCGCGAATTGAATCGCTTTGCACGTTCAGAGTGGGTTTTAAGTCTCTGATGAAAAGCATTTCGTTCACCAAACAATCGAACTTGTTACTACACCTTTTCAGAATGCTAAAACGTTTCAGTAGGTCTTTCGGGACTTCGCTGTGCCGTTCGTGGTAGTGTTTATATATTGAAGATGCCTTTCGTTTATGTCCATCCACGCGTGTGTGTAAGTGTCCGCGTGTATAGCCCACATAACCCGCATCACACAGGTCACATTGAAATTGATAAACGACGCGTTGTTGGTTGACAATCTGTGGCTTGATTTCTCGTACTTTAAGATCTTGGCCAACTTNGAACAGACAGATGGCGTTGCTATGGGGTCCCCTCTCGGGCCCTTATTAGCAAACGTCTTCATGTCATCCATCGAAGATACCCTTGAGCGACAAAGAAAACTCCCATCCTATTATCGTCGATATGTTGATGATACACTCACTGTAATGCCTGATCTAGCAACAGCAACTACCTTCTTGCATACCCTCAACAGCGCCCACACTTCGGTCAAATTCACCATGGAGGTGGAGAAGAACAGCAAGCTTCCTTTCCTTGGCACCGAACTACTCAACCATGCACCTCGGATTGAAACCAAGGTATATGTGAAACCAACAAACACGGGCCTACTATTACACTACCAAAGCCATGTAGACAATCGCTACAAACGGAGCTTGCTGAAAACTATGCTGGATCGCGCACACCGATTATCTTCCTCCTGGGCCCATTTCTCTGATGAGTGTGATCGCCTAAAGAAAGTTTTCGCACGGCTTAAATACCCGGAACGCCTGGTAAATTCTACCATTAACACCTTCTTACAATCAAGAATTGTTGGTACGCAGCCCACACAGACGCCCAAAGAACCAATATCCATTGTTCGTGTGGTCATACCTTTCAAAGATCAGGAATCAGCAAATTATGTTAAGAAAGAGCTCAAGAATCTTAGCATGAAGGTGCAGACAACTGTCCAGCCAGTATTTGTTAGCCGCAAAGTTGGCCAAGATCTTAAAGTACGAGAAATCAAGCCACAGATTGTCAACCAACAACGCGTCGTTTATCAATTTCAATGTGACCTGTGTGATGCGGGTTATGTGGGCTATACACGCGGACACTTACACACACGCGTGGATGGACATAAACGAAAGGCATCTTCAATATATAAACACTACCACGAACGGCACAGCGAAGTCCCGAAAGACCTACTGAAACGTTTTAGCATTCTGAAAAAGTGTAGTAACAAGTTCGATTGTTTGGTGAACGAAATGCTTTTCATCAGAGACTTAAAACCCACTCTGAACGTGCAAAGCGATTCAATTCGCGCAAAAGTATTTGTTTAATTAGCTCGTAACATATTTATGCTAATTTAGTGTTACACCTTGCCACAAACTTCATTTTTTATTTCTCCTTGACAATGGCGTCATGATGACACCGAAAGGTCGGTTTTTCGTTAGTTTTTGCTAGTCTTTGCATTTCTAAATCTTTATTGATAAGATAACATTTAAAGCCAACATTTCTGCAAGATACCTAATCTAGGAAGACGCACGAGTATCAAAGTATTTATGATAAATGCGACACTCAAGATGGTTTTAATATTATTTATTAGCAAAAAAACCATACCCCAGTAGGTGTTCCTGTTATTTTCCAATCTTTCCATTCTTTGCCGATCGGCCTTGTTTGCAAATCATCTGTAAATAAAATACTGCAGTTACAAAATAAAAGTGCACCAATATTAATCATAACCAGAAGCCACTCACTAAGAAACGATCTCCGCATTCTCGGGTAATCGAGGAAGGATGTGGAGGTTCAAAAAAAAAAAAAACTTTAAAAAGAGACAGTAATCCTTTTCGTACGGAGATATCTCATATCGCAACAGTGATAGGGTCTACGCTGGTATATAACCTTCACAGTGTGCTCACATGGACCGTGCTATATCTTTCCTTTAGTCGCCCCAAAAACTATTCTTTTACGCTATTCCTCTATGCAAAATGAGCTGGAAATGGACAGTTCTGGCCTGATGGTCGATAAGTTAAAATGGCTTGCATCAGATCTTGGTTTATTGGAATGTGTGTTGAAGTTCAGGGTCATCTTTAAAGCCCTTGCTAAAATTTTAGTCAAGAGAGGTTTCACAAGAAAAACTGAGTTCTACTTCCATACCGATGACAACGACGATAGCGATTGATTATATAACAAAAACAAGAGTGAATCATATTTACGTTTATCTCCCCTTATCATCCACAAGTAAGATAAATGAGTTAGTCGATTCCTAAATGTAAGGGCAATTTTCAACTGAGTTTCCTAAAACGATCTGATTTTATATTCACTTGTTTTACTTCGCTCAGTGATTAATCCAGAAAGCTCACGTCACCCCCGTAACTAATCAGATTGAAAGTGAAGACCGATCACAACTTCGTCACTCGTATTTTCCGGTGTTTCAGAGAGCATGCTCGTTTGCACAGCTCAAAAGCATGTTTCTTTTCGCAAAGTATGGTTAGTGTTTCCCTCCGATTAAGCTAGCACATTGCATGATTTATCAAGAAAAGCTATTCAGTCAACTGAACAAGACACTAACTCTTAGAGTGAAGCGACCAAAAGTATTACTGAAAAGATAATAAGAACTACTTACCCTAAAAAAAATTTTAAAATAGGAAAATAAATAGACCTAAAAAGCACTGTTATAAGGGTGTAAAATTCTTGTATCTTCCTTAATGAATATTTCGAACTTCTGAAGTATACAGGCAAGGTGTCACCTGTAATCAATAGTTAAGAGCGCCCCTTTTTTCTGTCAATCTAGCCTACAGTGCAGGCGTCTTATTAGGACGAGTTAACTTTAAGAGGCACGCGATCGTTTATTCAACCGGCCATGTTTGATTTGGAGTAAGGGTCGACGGTAGGGGGAGGGGGCGGGAAGGAGCGAAAAGACTCAATCCCCTATTCCCACCCCCTTCTTTATTTTTCTCTGTCGCTCACCCCTTAGTGCAAATTTCTTTCTCTCCCCAGCCTTCAGCTCCCATTAAACTCAAGATGAGCCTTTATCTGACTTAATCCGTTTCGGTGAGATTCTTTCGTCGGTTTGCGTCGAATATCTTTAATTTTTGTGCTGACAGCCAGGCTTCTCTTTGACTTTCACTGGACTCTTCTCCTCTTATCTTTCTCCACCCACAGTCTAATTTTAAACGCAGAGAAATAGCAAAGATCTCCACGGTCGAATTCAGTTCGAAAATAGGTTTTTGTAACTAACTCGCCAGTGTTTTAATATTTCACCAAGTTTTTTCTTGGAAACTTCAGCCAAAAAAATGCTTAGTTTGACATGAAGGAAAAACAACAAAATTTAAAGAAAGAAAATGGCCCTCGAAAGTCTAACGTATGTTTTAATGACTTCTCCGTTCTCATACCTTTATCAGTCCTTGAAAAGGCCACAACTTGAAATAAAAGGAATAGAGATCGCATTCGGTGATCCATGTGCCTTGAGCTGTGCTTGTCACTAGAAAACAATCAAAATATTGTTTAAGCCTAATGAAGGGATAAAAAAGAGGTAAGGCAGCCATTGGCTAAATTGCAATGGGGTATTAAAAAGAAAAAGGGGGAGGCCCTACAGTTAAGCCGACCCCTGTGATCCAGTTCCTGTACATGTAGCTAGTTCATAGAAGGTTACCCCCCATGCGGCGAAAATTCGCCCATATCTCTGAGATTTTACACACTGGTAGCCATTTAAGGTTTTTTTTTTTAGGGGAAAGGAAATGTGTTGATCTTGCCCACGAGTAGTCTGTTAAGAATGACTAATTCATTTCTTATTTCGGCGAGAAGTATAAGGTAAAAGAAATGTAAAACTGTGGTCCAGCAGGACGATTAACTCAAATACTTGGGGACATTCTTAGCATCAACAATGCAGTTATTGTACGGTACACTGAAGAGAAACTCGGTTTGAAGCAGAACTTTGTCTGGTCACGTCCGAATTGATGAATTACCATACAACTTTAAGAACATGTCAAGAATGTTTCCAGGCTCAAATCGCGAAAGAAATAAAAAAGTTCGGCCTCAACACCAAAATTAGACATGCTAATATAAAAAAAAAGGAGTGTATACGTTGAGGTGGTACTGATTCAAATAACGCTCTGTAACCAGACAGTAAAACATTCCATTTCACTCTCATTTTGTCTTGGTAATTAAAATGGAAAAAGTGAAATAATGATAATGGCAAATGCTAATAAAAGCTGTGGGTCACTTGCCCAATGCTGGCATTACAAAAGAATTTCAGGTTTTAATACGAAAAGACTGGCCACTCAGAATAGAGCAGCGATGACAATTTGACAGTCATTTGATGACCTCTTGTGACGCGACGGAAAAACATTGACATGGGGCTTCGTCAAAAGTTATTCAGTGATATGCTTGTCTATAATTTTTTGTCATTTTTTTCTCCTCATCTAGCGAAGGCCATGACGTGGCTTCCTCTTGTTTGTTTGTTTTTTTTTTCCTTTTTTTTTTCAAAGAAGGAAGGTCATAATTACGTATCCCCTTTGTATTATCATTAATTAGAGACCTAGTTTGACTTGTACCTACTGACTCACTTAATTAAGCATACTTTCACCGTCTGCAACTCAGCTCGCTGAAGCAAAATTTCGCTGGTAAAGAAAACGACTTAAATCAAACAAAATCTCGCAAAATAAATCTCTCCTATTGGAGTAATCAAAATACCACTAGAAGCCTTCACATTTTTAAGAAATCTTAAACCAGACGGATCGACTTTCTTACAAGGAAATGTTCTGAGACTTCAAAATGTTCGATGTTGTTCCCTGCGAAGAACCGTAATCTCTTCATTATAACTTAGAAAACGTCGAAGAATATGTATTACAGTTGTAAACGACAAATATCGTGCTATTCTAAGTTTGAACATAGTTCTTTTACAGAAGCGATCATAAAACTTCAAACGAGTAAACAATGAAACATAATGCCTCTTGGTTGACTCAATTAACTATCGTTGTTGAAGAATAACAATGTTCTCTAACAGAAAGTACACTTACCAGTTGCCAGCAATTAACTGATTGTTCCAAGTTGATCGGAGATTGATGAACGATCGAAAAGAATTTACCGTTATCACAGGTTGAGGACAAAATGACGTATCAGCTAAAGCTTCCGCGGTGGTTTAGAACGACAGTCGGCGAAAGGTCATGTGCATCAATGTTCGCCAAAGCGAGACTAAAATAATATATGCAGTTTATGTCATAGACGAAAGGGACTCAAGGTGAAGCGCTGGTGGTCTATCTTTTCGGCCGTCTTCACTAGAAAACTTAGTTCATGAGCTCTTTGTAGCTAATATTCGTGATAACTAATGTTTCTCAGCGGTTTTCAGAAACTAATATCAGTTCGGGTGACTTCGCAATTCAACCGTGACATAATTTGGTAATAATTCACATTTTCTCAAAACTGTTGCATCACATCACACTTAATGCACTTTAAAATTACTACCTACGCAACGGTCAACAAAAGACATTTTCAGGTCTAGTTGTCAAACCTAAAGAATGAATTCTGAATTCAAAGCTATTATAATTGTAAATTGTATTTATCTCGAGGTGACTGCAGGTAAGAAGTGCTTCAAAGAAGTAGGAAAGATAAGAAGTTGAATGTCAATATTTTATGAAAACATTTTACCTCTTTTCAATTTAAAGATGACCTGGGGCTTGAGGAAACATTTTTCTTCGCAAAAAATCTATGAATTTCTTATTACATGGTTTGAAAACGGCACGTTGTGTTCATGATGCACTTTGAGGAGCAGGAGGTCCGTATAAATTATCGGGAACTAATATCAAATGATATAGACATCACTGACAGCAATAAAGGCCATAAAACCAAACCACCGATAAACAAATCTCCTCCATAAATTTTCCCCAAGATGGTTACGAACTGCTTTGAAATAATTGACAACAATCAATAATTCCCTTCACACTTCTCCTATGGAAAAGATACTTTATTCCGATTGAACCTTAGGCGAGCCTCCTTGTTACTGTCAGTCCACTTCCCCTTTCAGCTACAATATCCTGGAATGCAGTTCAAATACTTTTTTCCAAGTGTTTCCTCTGCGTGGTTTCATCTAATTTAATCTTGAAGTGACGTACTCTCACTATCTGATCTGTTTATCGAATCACGCAATTTTACCTTGGTTGCCAAGGTTCTTAACATCTTTTAATTCATCCTATTAATATGGTGACATCTTTTATTCGGTTTTTCTTTCTTTTCTATTTAATATATTTGTCTTTTTGTTTAACCTTAATTTGTCTTTTTTTTTTTTCATTTGGGTGTTTTTGTACGTGTTGGCCAGTTTGGGGATGCCCAAGGATTAGCCTTTTTCAGTTTATTCTGAGCTCGACAACTCGCGGTCTTCCACGAGAAGCGCAGTTGATTTTAACTGGTCTCAAAAGACTCGCGTAAGCCAAGCGCGCTAAGGAATCGCAACAGGTAAAGAGTAAGTTTAGCCCTTGGTTTCGAGGAAATGTCAGCTTTGAGTATTCTAGGAAAAAATGCCAGTTCCACAGGTTACCTTTGTTGAAAGATTGGTTAACACATCAGAAGTATTTACCAGAGGAAAAATTACCTTAAAAATTCGTCGAAAATGAGAACAGGAAACCGTGAGTGACTGGTATGTCTGACGTTATATAAAGATCCTTTAACTGCACTTAAAGCAGCTATATATGTCACGATCGGGGAGCCTTGAAATTTCTTTATTCTTCCTCTTTCGAAATCTGTCTCAGTCCTCTCTCTACCTATCTATCTATCTAAATCTATCCATCTATCTATCTATCCTCTTCATCCCTAGTCATTCTTGTTCCAACGTAGTATATCATTGTGTCTTTTCTTTTTTTCTACATAGCAGAACTAACAATTTTCACCGCTCCTTTCACTGATCATTAGAAAGAACTTTGGAGACCCAAAATTTAGTAACCTATATTATTACAAGATCCTCAGGTTCACGATAGGTATGCTCTCAGCTCTACTGAAGAGCATTCCCCTCGATTAACTATATGAAGAGTGGTCTCATCAGTTCCTACCTCCATTGGGCTATTGATGGAAAGATCTAAGACCCTGTTTACCAAAACGGCTGATCCATTTAAACAGAAAGATCTGGACTTTCCTCTCCGTTTGCCTAAATTTATGGAAATATTTAAGTAATTTTTTTGGCAAACCTAAGTTGGTATTTTTCAATTATTTTCGTTAGATCTATTTTTGTGAGATATTTTGCTGTCTTAGGATTTGTACACAATAGTTTCTTGATGTTTCATTTGAATCTCATGATTGTCTAAGGGTTTTCTCGGGGTCAGCTCATATAAAGGGTTTCCAATTTTCACTGGGATGTTTTGGTTATTGGATGAAGCGTTTGTATTTGAATTATCTTAGAGTAGGCTCTACTGTGGGGACTAACCTGCAAGCAGTTGGTATCCCTAGCAAAATATTCTTGCAGGGGTAGAGTGTGTACGCCATGAAAGATCCAATCGATGTTTCGTTTTCTTTTTGTCTCAGTTATCCCAGCTTGTTATATTGGACCTTCTTTTTTCACGTGTTCATCATTAGCGATTCATGTAGGTTTGTTTGTATTAGCTTTATTGAATTAAGTATTGCAAGTATGCCGAGTAACAAAGGTCAATGGGATATGTAAACCCTTAACCCTTTCACTATTTATCCATTTAGCGGTTTGAAGTGGCAATGGCATTTTCTCCAGCAGTGGCACTTAAAAAAAAAAAACTCAAGAATTAAGTACGTAGCTATGATATAGAGGCACTATATCATAGCTCAGATCCCTGGTGCCTGCTGTTTCGCTTAGCCGAGCTCAACTAATTAATCTCCCGAAGGTGTAGCGCTATTCTATGTCTAGAAGCCGGTATATTGTAGTATGATAGTAAAGGAAAAGTCCGTACACTACATTTTTTACGCAAGCCGTGAACGTGCAAGTTTATTTATTTGGCCTACACACGTACTTGAAAACATTGCTAGAGTTCTCTGTCTTGAAAGGCTGGATGTAGGTGGCCGCCTTCCATCAAATATCAATGGTCACCAATGTTTTAGTGTAAGGGTTAGGGTTAGGCAAACCCTCAGCGATTAATGTTTGACTAATTGGAAGCTTACTCAAAATCGCACGAGAGTTAATCAAGGGTGGTATCTCTACAGAATTATGAGTGAGTCAGGGCTTAACTTCCCCATCTGTTACGTTTGTATGTCATGTGTTGTCGCTGTAAAACGATAAAAATCCGCTTAAACAAGCTCTGTGTGAGAAACGGCATTCCTAACTAGGCGAAACTTTGGCTCACTCGGGTGATCACTGTAACAAACAACGGCATAATACGAGAGGCATCGTTTCGGTTTTAATCCGAATTTCAAATACACGGTGATTCGAATTGTTCAACAAAGTTGTTCGAGATCATATATGGAATGTCCCTGACAATAGATCAGGTAAATCAGCAATGCTATTGATGATAAAATCCGGTTTACACTCTGCAATAAACTCCCTGCTCTGTGTCCCAGTTAACACTGCGATCGTCCAACAACCAGCGTTCTTCCCTTCTTCAACGTCGACCTTAGTGTCCCCAACTTTGACTACTGATCGGGGATCCATTATCCCAAAAAATTTAATAGCCGAGTGGATCATTGCTGGATGAGGCCTTCCATGACCCGCTTTCTCTGCGCTACAGACAAAATCGACCAGGCTGGACCAGTTCAAGGTATCTGTGATAGTTTCAACGACACTGTGCGGGAAGCCGCTGCCAACAGCAATCTTCGCTTCTGTGGATTTCAACTTCTGAAAAACTTCAGTTGTTCCTGGGATTTCGTTTTTAATCGATGATAAATTCTGATTTAGAAAAAAATTGAAATCCTTGAATAAGAGGTCGACACCGACGTTAGATTTCGTGTTGGTTGACTCGTTTGACTCGTGTACCTCGTTTAAGATACTCTGAATTGCGTCTCTCTTCTCCATTCCACGGTATTTATTGACTAAACTCACGTCGATGCTGTGGCCATTTTTGTGAAATGCTTCTTTCATGGCGATAGCCACAAGTGGTACACCCTCAATCGAGTCATCTACAGTTGTACCTGCAAGATCAAACACGAACAATTTTATGTTTGCCGGTACGTTCGCAGTTTTGTTTAGTTCGTCCGCCATTTTTGCTAAGTCATAACTGAGCCAGTGGTAACCAGCCGATATGGACAGCGGAAATCAAAGATGGCGGAAAGCTTGAGGGTAAGCAAAAACCTTGTCGTTGTGGAGTTATTATGTGTTCTAGAACGCAATTTAATAGCTTGCCTGACAGTTTGAAAATATTTTCTCTCTTTAGATATTAGTTCTTCACGGCTACAGGTAAATAAATAAAAAAAGATTGTTATGGATTTTTCAGGCTTTAAAGGAAAGAGACTTGACCGTGCAGTCAGAGATCAGTTTGCAGGAGGTTGACGAAGGTAGACTGGAGGTTCAGCTGCGTTTGCTGAAGTGATAAATGTTACAAATAATTTTCAATTCAGCCGAGAAATTTTAAAATCTAGCGAGAACGGCGTGTCACCAAGCTACTTCAATCACCCCCGCCCACTCCGATCCCCGTCTTCATCGCTAACGATCAATGGAGACATTATTCTCTGCTTGGTAAGAAATAGTAAACTCGTTCTCCTTTTTCTTTTTCAATAATGTTGTTCTAATTCTTTCATTTATTATTTTCTTTGTGGAGACAGAGTGCTAAGACGTGTAAAGAGAAGCTTGGTGCATTCAGGAAAAACCTGAAGAAGCTTCCACTTGAATTTGGTAGGAAATTCTAGTATATATTTTTATCTTGGGCGTGTTGTTTTCCCAGTCCGTCGATCGAATATCAATCTTTTTTGTATTTTAATTATGGTATTTATTTTGTTTTATTTTCTTGTCCTTATAACAGTGTACATAACTGCACCAAATAAAATTCCAGCAGAAAATAGTGGTGATGTTGCTTCTTCAAATGAAGGTATTCGAAAGCATTATAGTTACACATGTAGGGTAGCTAAAATAGACTGGTAAGCCATTCAGTACTAGTAGCTTGCTGGTTGGCTGGCCTTGCTTTTATTTGATCACTTGATTGACTGGCTAGTTTTAATTTTTTATTAACCATTTGGTGATTTACAGATTGATTGATTGATTTGTATAGGCGTAGGAATTTGCTATGTAACTGATCAGCTCGTTGTGTCATTTCAATTAGATGAATATGGTTGGTGGTTTTCAGCAGAAGATAACACATATGACCCTCTCAGTTCTTCTGATGTCTCAAAAGGTTTTGATGAATCTATTGAACTAGTCAAGGCAACCTTCACAAACCAGGTAATGAATCGTGTTGTAGTACCCTCTCTGTGTCTCTGTTCTTCCAGCAATCATCAAAGCTTGTGGGCAAGAAAGAGAAAGAGGAAACAAAGATGATTTTTCACAAGAATTTCTGATTAGTGTGGATAGTGTGGATGTTTATTTATAAGTTTTTGTTGAATGGTTTCCTTCTAAGTAGCCTTATAAATTTACAGTAACCAACAGTATTTCTTTTGTACAGAGTTGGTATGTCAATGAAAATATTTTAAGAATATATTTGCAGTTTCTTTTCCTTGGTTGTTAAATTTTATTGTTATCATTGTTTTGACATCTACTGTTCATGTTCCTTTTCAGGGGCAATTTGATGGTATGTAATCTCATCTTTAAGGAGCATTTAATTTAGTAGTGCTTATGGGGAACCATCCAGCTAGATACTTTGAGGAGTGTTTTTTTGTATTGAAAAATAGGGAAAGTACTTTTAATTTTCATAATTGAGAATTTCAATTAGTTAACTACCAATTTGTCAAGCCTGTCTGTGTAGTTCAAAGGGCATAAATAAAAACAAACTGCTATTTATAATGGTAATTGAACTGAGTGGAGTGCAATTTGGGCTGAAAGCATACGTTGGATTTCAAAATCGATCAAGCACATAGCGCGAGTTTGATTTGAAATCATAAGTATGATTTCAGACCAAAATTGCAGGACACGAGGTTCAATTAGCACTTTATTACATCCATTTTGAAATCGCCCAAATACAGGACTTGGTCAATTCAAATATTTTATTGAATGCAGTACTGAGCTGGCTTTTAAATAAAAAGTGGAACCGGAAATGCTTTTACATCTTATTTTGTATGCAAACAGAAAGACTGACGTCATGTGTCAAAAACTCAGTCAAGCATAAAATGATATGATTTAGAGCAAAAATGGTGCGATTCGTGAATAAATTGCACCAATTAGAGCCGATCAGATTACAGGGACCACCAGTGATTTGAAAATGGATGTAATAAAGTAAATAATTGTCCATTAATTGCCACTAGAAGCATCAGCATGGTAAGGTGATATGCTTGTAACAATATACCTTGATCTTTTTCTCCATCAACCATACATACTTGTTTTCAAGATTGGATTATCACCATCCATGGGATTAAACACTATCCAACTGATACAAGCAGGTGGTTTAAACATTGCCTATCATGTTTGATGGGTTTAATTACATATTCCATGGGAATTGCAGCAGTTTATCCAGAGGGTAGTGTTGTCTTATTCGTATGAATATGTAAGTTAGATCTCGTTGTGATGTGCATTTGATCATATTTTATTGTTAATTTGCACGATATAAGTAATAAAATTATTATATTAAAAAAAAATTATTATTACTATCTTCCATCTAAACACCTAGGGGTAAATTGTGATTCAACAGCCCGATAGAACATGGCACGTACGTATTTTGAACGAGCTCTATGAGCTCCTTGACACTACGTGGGTAAATAAAGTATTGATTGATTGATTGAGAACCTTTTTTTGTAAAAATAAATATAAGATAAATGAAAAATATTTCACTGGCTGGGACTTTTTACAGGTTCTTATTTAACTGTCCATGCATGTATGTTAAATTTACAAAATAGGTGTTCTTGGGTTTAGTCAAGGTGCATGTTTCCTATCAATTCTCTGTGCATTAAGTGAACAAGGTATGTCCGTTTGCTTGTATATAATGCATGTAACTCTGCGCAGGTGGTCTATCATGAATATAAATTAATTGAATGATATTGTTATAGCTATTATGAACTGCTATTATCACTGCTCAATTGCTCAACTTATTCCTCTGGTCATTTTTGTTCCTCTTTTCTTGGATGATGTCCAAAGTAATCTGAAATATAAATTACCATGCCCTTGTCCAGGACATACAGTTAAATAGAATGCCTTGTTCATTGTGCTGTAGGTTCTTTGAGTTTTAAATTTGCCATTCTTGTGGCCGCGTTCAAGTCAAGATCTTCAGGACACAGCTTATACTACACAGAACCCATCACATGCCCCACCCTGCATGTTTTTGGTGATACAGACAGAGTCATACCTAAGGGTATGTATTCAGTTGGTCGTTACTTTAAAGTGGTACTGGGATTTTTTTCCTGCACCTGTCTATTTGTACTGTTGTCCACTTCACAATTTGTAAGAAATCCTGCTAAGAACTGTGTATCTTAATCAAGCCTCTGGCACCAATACTTCACCTAACCCCACATCTAAGTTTCAAGGCACAGAAATCACTTTACAAAACAGTATGATCTTTGAACTATGAACTCCTTTCAACTCTCCACTTATCCCTGCATAGATCTTCTTAAGTATTATGACACTGAGCAAAGTTAATAGAGCTCTATTAACTTTTTCGTCTTAACGTACATTAAATATGTACTACATTTTTTCTACCTTTTTCCAGGCCATTTCGTCCCTACGCAAGCTCCCCAAAAGAAGGTCTACATAGAGTTTCTGGAGCAGTTCATTAAGAAGACTTAACAAGTGTTACGTTCTCGCCGTAAAATGTAGCCACACCGGGTACTGTCAGGTGTTGTCCTCGAACAATTTTTGTGTTATGCAGCAAAGAAAAGAAAGAAAAGAATTTCGAATTTTTAGTCTGCGTAGCTAACGTTCGCCATGGTTGGACGCGTTCCCGGAAAATTTTAGTTATGACTTCCAGGTCAATCCTGTGAGAATGAGAGGTCAATGCATTGTTTTTCGTGGTTTGACTGATTATTTTAAACTCTCTTTATCTTCAAAGTTCCTGTCAAAGATATCTTAAGCTGTCTGAGGGGAAGTTGCAAAGAGTCTGCCCTAGAATACGAAAGTTATGATTGAAGTTATACGTTCTTTAGCCTTGACCCAGGGAAAAAAGACTGAGAGGTGTTCCTCCTAAAAAAGGAGGAGAAAACATGTCATTAAAGATAGTTATAAACGACAGTTACCAATGGTGTCGACGGTTTATGTTTGTCACATATTCACAATGATAATAAAATGGAGAAAAATATCTCAGTCTATGTACGGAGGTTTCATTAATTTCTGTCATAAGCGGCTGCCGATGGTGAAATAGGGGGCTGTGCGCGGAAAGGTGCCGTTAGTGCGAAACCCCAGCACGGGAGTCTACATTAAGGCGAAGCAAATAGCGGTAAAAGTGAGATGTCTTGTAGGCAATCGTAGATCTCGTGGTTCTCGTGGTTCTCTGGTTCTCGTGGTTCTCGTGGTTCTCGTGGTTCTCTTGTTCTCGTGGTTCTCGTGGCTCTCGTGGTTCTCTAGTTCTCGTGGTTCTCTGGTTCTCTTGGTTCTCTGGTTCTCGTGGTTCTCGTGGTTCTCGTGGCTCTCGTGGTTCTCTGGTTCTCGTGGTTCTCTGGTTCTCGTGGTTCTCGTGGTTCTCGTGGTTCTCGTGGTTCTCGTGGTTCTCTTGTTCTCGTGGTTCTCC